ACCTGGGGCTAGCACACAGACCACTGACATCATACTCAATACCTGGGGCTAGTACACAGACCACTGACATCATACTCAATACCTGGGTCTGGTACACAGACCACTGACACCGTACTCAAAACCTGGGGCTAGTACACAGACCACTGACATCATACTCAATACCTGGGGCTAGTACACAGACCACTGACATCATACTCAATACCTGGGTCTAGTACACAGACCACTGACACTGTACTCAAAACCTGGGGCTAATACACAGACTACTGACATCATACTCAATACCTGGGTCTAGTACACAGACCACTGACATCGTACTCAAAATACCTGCAGTTGTAAAATTAATGAAGTGTCTAGACCAACAAGGTAAAACAGAAAATGTCTAGACTAACAAGGTTAAACACCAAGAGTCTTGACTACAAAGGTTAAACAATAACAAAGTTCCACTGAAACTAAAACCTAATTTTGCTGTAATAATTAAACAATATTTAAAAACATAATGGTTAAACAACAAGGAACAAGACTGTATATTTAAAGGCTTTAACAAACTTAAATATATATAACTGAAATTAACTTTGATATTATGATATGTTGGATGAACAAAAAAAGTCTGTTTGGGTGAGACCAGTTCCCAGTACTTCATCAGGAGGAAGTTTTGGTTGTGTTACTGGTCATCTCAGATTTCTGTTCCAGGATTTAATTACAATGTAGCAACATAATACTGACACCGTACTCAATACCTGGAAATACTTGCTGGTTTTCTTAAGAAATAGACTAATATTATAGTGTTTATTTAACACGCTAACTTAATTAAGGAAGTCTCTATCATTTAAAATATCTTCTGTATTATATTCTTAAATTGCGTGTACAGATTTTAGAGTCCACTAAGGCAATTAAAACATGCACTATGAACTTACTTATTTCTAACTCAGCTACCTCTGAATTGATGCATGAAAGGTGAGCTAAAAATCCTAAAAGAACACCACTTAGACTTGAGAAAATATTTTCTGGAAAAGGGTGGCTAGAATTATATTTAATAAAAGTCCAACTTATTTTTTAACATACCTCAACACCACATTAGATGTGTCTCCATTTCAAATCCTATCTATGTAAACAAATATGTGATGTTATAGCAAATTGTCACCTTTCATGTGTCAATTTAGAGGCAAAAACAAGAAAAGTCTGTTTGGGTGACATCAGTTCCCAGTACTTCATCAGGAGGAAGTTTTGGTTGTGTTACTGGTCATCTCAGATTTCTCTTCCAGGATTTAATTACAATGTAGCAACATAATACTGACACCGTACTCAATACCTGGGGCTAGTACACAGACCACTGACACCGTACTCAATACCTGGGGCTAGTACACAGACCACTGACACCGTACTCAATACCTGGGGCTAGTACACAGACCACTGACACCGTACTCAATACCTGGGGCTAGTACACAGACCACTGACACCGTACTCAATACCTGGGGCTAGTACACAGACCACTGACACCGTACTCAATACCTGGGGCTAGTACACAGACCACTGACATCGTACTCAATACCTGGGGCTAGTACACAGACCACTGACACCGTACTCAATACCTGGGGTTAGTACACAGACCACTGACATCGTACTCAATACCTGGGGCTAGTACACAGACCACTGACATCGTACTCAATACCTGGGGCTAGTACATAGACCACTGACACCGTAGTCAATACCTGGGGCTAGTACACAGGCCACTGACACCGTACTCAATACCTGGGGCTAGTACACAGACCACTGACACCATACTCAATACCTGGGGCTAGTACACAGACTTCTGACATCGTACTCAATACCTGGGGCTAGTACACATACCACTGACATCGTACTCAAAACCTGGGGCTAAGTACACATACCACTGACATCGTACTCAATACCTGGGGCTAGTACACAGACTACTGACATCGTACTCAATACCTGGGGCTAGTACACAGACCACAGACATCGTATCCAATGCCTGGGGCTAGTACACAGACCACAGACATCGTATGCAATACCTGGGGCTAGTACACAGGCCACTGACACCGTACTCAATACCTTGGGCTAGTACACATACCACTAACATCGTACTCAAAACCTGGGGCCTAGTACACAGACCACTGACATCATACTCAATACCTGGGGCTAGTACACAGACCCCTGACACCGTACTCAATACCTGGAAGTACTTGCTGGTTTTCTTAAGAAATAGACTAATATTATAGTGTTTATTTAACACGCTAACTTAATTAAGGAAGTCTCTATCATTTAAAATATCTTCTGTATTATATTCTTAAATTGCGTGTACAGATTTTAGAGTCCACTAAGGCAATTAAAACATGCACTATGAACTTACTTATTTCTAACTCTGCTACCTCTGAATTGATGCATGAAAGGTGAGCTAAAAATCCTAAAAGAACACCACTTAGACTTGAGAAAATATTTTCTGGAAATGGGTGGCTAGAATTATATTTAATGAAAGTCCAACTTATTTTTTAACATACCTCAACACCACATTAGGTGTGTCTCCATTTCCAATCCAGTCCACTAAGGCAATTTAAACATGCACTATGAACTTACTTATTTCTAACTCAGCTACCTCTGAATTGATGCATGAAAGGTGAGCTAAAAATCCTAAAAGAACACCACTTAGACTTGAGAAAATATTTTCTGGAAAAGGGGGGCTAGAATTATATTTAATAAAAGTCCAACTTATTTTTTAACATACCTCAACACCACATTAGGTGTGTCTCCATTTCCAATCCTATCTATGTAAACAAATATATGTGATGTTATAGCAAATTGTCACCTTTCATGTGTCAATTAAGAGGCAAAAACAAGAAAAGTCTGTTTGGGTGACATCAGTTCCCAGTACTTCATCAGGAGGAAGTTTTGGTTGTGTTACTGGTCATTTCAGATTTCTGTTCCAGGATTTAATTACAATGTAGCAAACATAATACTGACACCGTACTCAATACCTGGGGCTAGTACACAGACCACTGACACCGTACTCAATACCTGGGGCTAGTACACAGACTACTGACACCATACTCAATACCTGGGAGTATTTGCTTGTTTTCTTAGACTTGAATAAAACAATGTTAGGATCAGCAAGATAAATTGTGATTAAATTACACAGATTTTGGTGCTAAATATGCTATTACAATGAACCTCCCCTGATCAGGTCTATACAACTGGCTCATATACTTACCTCTCTATTTAATGCCCGCGCTATAGACTTCGCTATACTAGTCTTTCCTACTCCTGGGGGACCATGGAAACACAGTATCTTTCCCTGTGTACCGCCCTTAAGTTGGCTTACAGCGATAAACTCCTGCAATTATAAGTATGTTATCATTAATGCTTTGGAACCCTCTGTGTAAAATTATAATTCAAAAGGTTTCCTAATTAAGCAGATAAATGATGGAACACAGGTGCTCAATCCACTGAGATCCCAGGAGGCTTCAGATCTTCTTTAGTTCTGTCAGTTAGGCCTCGTATCTTCTTTACTCATATCAACAGTAAAAGCACCATGTACGTGATACTTAAGTAACTTTTGATCAAAACCTCACACTGTTCGACAATGTCCTTTCACAGTCAGCTTGTTGTTGTGACCTATTGAGGAATCCATTTTGTTTTCTGAAGAAGCAGTGTGATACTAAAAATAAAATATGTGATATAGAGAACAGGAAAAACCTACTCCAGTGCTTTCTGAGAAATAGCAATAACAAACTGAAATTGTCAACAAGAGTACCACAAGGCGGAACAATATACGCCCGTCGAATATTGTTACTGAAACGAACAAAGGGCAATAACTTTTGCAAATATCGTTAAATCAAAATTTTGTTAAGGGGGACACAACTTCATATCGTGATTATAATGTATACCAAGTTTCAAAGAGATCCGTTGAAAAATGTAGGAGGAGACTGCTGGACAAAAATCAAATACTGAAATAAACAAAGGGCAATCACTTTTGCAAACATTGTTGAATCAAAATTCTTTTCGAGGAAACACAACAACATATCATGATTATTTAGCCTTCTAAGTTTCAAAGAAATCCGTCGAAAAATGTAGGAGGAGATCTCCTGACAAAAAATCAAATACTGAAATGAACAAAGGGCGATAACTTTTGGAAACATTGTTGAATCAAAGTTCTTTTAAGGGAGACACAACTTCATATCATGATTATAATGTATGCCAAGTTTCAAAGAGATTGGTAGAAAAATGTAACAGGAGATTGCCGGACAAACAAAAGTTTAAACCGGACAGACGGACAACCCCATACCATAATACTCCCGTCAAAATTGGGCGGGCGTATACAAATCAAGATAGTCGCCTGGCATTCTACTTGTTCTTACAATTTGTCTCGCAGTCAACAATTAAGAACTAACAGGAACTTACTATTGAAATTTGAGAGTGATCCAGTACTTTCTGAGAAATAGTAATAACAAACTTTAACTCTCAAAATCTAAGATGGCCACCTGGCAACCCTCTTGTCTTTTGATCAGTCTTGATATTGAACATGCACAACTTAAGACCTTAAAATTAAACATGCACATCTAAGATAAGAACTATCTATGACTTCTTGAGGAATAATGATAACGATCTTCAATGCTGAAATTTAAGATATCTGCCTTTTTTCCCAGCAAAGCTGAAATTAAACATACCTAACTAAGAGGAACCTACAAAGAATGTGTTTGAGAATGGACCATGGGCCAAAAGAGTTGAACAGCCTATTATCTGATAATAATTTAGCTAAAAAGGGACAGATATTAAACGTATTGTTTCCTTACATTCAACTAACCTATAAAGACAATAGCCTTTCAGAAGCTCCTCAGAACATGGATGTAAGAGCGATAACTCTTACTGACCAGAATAAGTTACCTTGGTAATGCACAAAAGCTCATACAACTCAATTGAAATCAAATTATGCTTCTATTCATGAAACTTTCTCAGCCATAGGATATCGAATTATAATTTGTCAGTCAAAAAAAAAACTTATGATAAAATGACTAATCAGGACTATATAAAATATGTCTTACCAGAATTCTGTTTTTCACATCTTCCATCCCATAATGATCTTCTTCAAGAATAGTCTTTGCCCTTGTTAGGTCCAGATTTTCCTCTGTGTATTTTCCCCAGGGTAAAGATGTTAGCCAATCCAGGTAGTTCCGGGTAACACTGTAAACATATATAAAGCAGTTCTATATACCAGGTAACAAGACAGGTAGCAGTAGATATTCAATCAGACCTCAGGGAAAGGTTTAAACTACTGTTTATAACTCTCAAGAGAAACCTGATCATAAAAATTGTGAAAAATCCCCTTTTAGTCTCCCCTTAATGTTTCCTGTATGCATGCAATGTGTTTTAACGATGTTGCAATGGGTCTTTGCATCTGATTTCCTAAAAACAAATATGTCATTTGATAATAATTAACCTGTTAATCATACATAGATGTTCCAATTACCTGTTAATCATACACAGATGTGGATTCAGCATATGCATATGTTCATAGAGCAACTTAGAAGAGATAGACTATATACATTAAGTAATGTACTTACTTAAATTCTGCAGAGTGATAATCAAGGAAGCTAAATTTTGCCATTTCTTCATCAATCAGTGTCTTCACGTGTTCAGGTATAACCAAATCCTGCAAGGAAATCATATGTATATTAGCAATGTTAAGCCTGAATTATCTGAATAAGTGTCAAGTAGTATACAAATGGGAATTGTAGCTTGATTTTATCCAGAATCAATTAACGGGTTAAGTTGCTAGAAGATCAGACATAATAAGGGCGAAGGCAAGCCACGTTAAGGGGTTAAGCTAATTTATAAAGGTCACACTTTCAATTGTGTTATACTACACTGGTTTCCAAATCTAATTACCTAGTAAAAGCATGAAATAAGTTTATAGCAAGAGGCCCAATGGGCCTACATTGCTCCCCTGGTATTAATCTCACAATTGTTACCTTAAAAGTGAACTAACATAAAGCTACAGGCAAAATATCAGTGTCTTGTTCATTCAAAAGAATCTGTTAAATTATTTATACTTATTTGACCCCTGTGACATTGAAAGTCAAACATGGACATTAAGTTGAACAAACTGTATAGCCCTTCATCCTAGAATGCAAATTGCCAAATATCACCAACCTAAACCTTTTGTTTATTGAGAAGATGACATTTAAAATATGTATGCACAGTTGACCAGATGTTACCTTGAAAGTGTGTCGAGGTCATTCACATGAACAAACTATCACCCTGGAAGTTTTAGTTATTCAGAAGAAGTCATTTAAAGATTTCAAAATATTTGACCCCTGTAACCTTGAAAACATACTTGGTAGCCCTTAAACATCAAATGCTACTGGCCAAATACCATCACCCTACGCCTCTTGCTTATTGAGAAGAAGTTGTTTAAAGTAAAATGTTGACGCCGGATGGACGCCGCACCATGACATAAGCTCACTTGGCCCTTCGGTCCAGGTGAGCTAACAATTACAGCTTTTCATTTTGTCCTACATCATTTATTGAGATTTGAAATTTCTCAAATTTTTAATAATTTGAAAAAGTGCAAAATTTGAACTTTGTGTATTTCATGCTTCATTAAATAGTGATGACCCTGACCTTCATCCTCTCTCTGAACTTCTCCTCAATGGTATCCTTGTCATCCTTCTCCATTCCAAGAGTCTTTTTGATGTGCTTCAGCTGTTCCCTGAGCATAAACTCTGTGTGCTGTTTCCTCACCTTCTCCTCAACCTGTTCATGATATGGTGACATATTTAAGTGGAACCGATCCACAGTGTTATGTGGATACATGCAAGAGGATTTTGTATACATCTGTTTGAAGATACAGTCTCCAAAGATTTTAAAGGCAACGTAATGTTAGACAGTTAAAAAGGGTACATCACCAAATGATTTTCTCACCTGTTCACGAATACTTTTCTGTAACTTGATCCTCTGTAATTCCCTCTTTAGCAATGCTAGGGTCAAATGCAGTCGTTTTAATAGCTGAAATCATACAATGTATACTATCAGCAAAAGTCTATACATAAAACATTTATATACACTGATTAAAGAAATACAGAGACTAGGTGAAAATATCAAGTGAAGAGCGAGGTTTACAGAAAACACTCATTTTATACTTTCATTCTGTTTACTGGATGTACACAGTTGTTCTGTTTTGTTCATAATGAAAGGAGAATTATACAAATAATGTTTAGACTGTATTAAATTACTTAACTTTTAAATTTGACAGATAAAGTTCCTCTAAACAACCTTGATAATTCATCCAAATAACCATCAATTAATGTATGCCTGCTCTTACATTTTACTGTGTTTCCATTTTAATTTTGATACAAAGTTTCACTTATCCTTAATACCACCTTAGCAGATTTATTTCAACACCTACCCTAATTAGTACCTATTCCTTTAAAGTTAAGGAGAGTACCAAAACGGTATATAGAAACCGTTAACATAACTGCAGGAGTCAGATAGCATGATATGCATAAATTATATACTAAATCTGATGCTTATGCGATAGTGTAAGAAATTGAAAATCATGTGTCTGTTCAAACAAGCAGTACACACTATGGTAGTGAGATACTAGAAATGATTTACATGGAATTTGGTTGGAATTTTTTCAGTCAATGTTCAAAGATTATGTAACTGTGTCCTTGACCTAAAACACAAAACCTTGGATTTCAACAGGCTTATTAAGATTGGTATAAAGATAATTGTGTAAACATTCATAAACTTTAGATGAATTTTAATCAGGAAATTGTGGAAAAAACAATTTTACCACCTTTTCATGTAAATAATCTGTAGCAATGGTCTCAGCCTTCAACAAACACAGCTTCAAACAGTCTCAAGAGATAAAGGTCAGAAATACTAGTGTGGAATTTCACGAAATCCAATTGAAAACTTAAGCTAGGATTATTCTAATATCATATTTTCCCAGCATCATGTAAAGAATCTGTATCTGAAACCCTGACCAGGGACGTTTGAATTTGCTCTGCAACCGATCCTTTGAGATTGACATCAGGGAGTTGAGGCTTACGTTGTTCAATGAAAGAGTAGATGTTTCAAACGTAACATGTTGACAAGACAGATGATGAATGGACACACAGCTACAGGACCTTCAGGCCAGGTGAGTATACAATGAGGTAAAACACAACATTTACTACAGGTTTGTGTATACATACATTGGTTTCTTCCATGACTGTTTGTAAGTCTGCTGAGTCAGCACCCGTCATAGCACAGCCTGAAAATAAACAAAACAGTAATTACAGTTATTTTGTAGGCCAACTCTTCAACTGGTTTATATCAAACAAACCATTTAGCTCTTCTGCCAAAATCAAAACAAAATGACCTAAAGCTTGATCCCTGCCCAATAATCTCCAGTCGTGACCTTCACGCTTTGTTTACAATCCTGAGAGAGTTATGCAGCAGTTACTTTATCCAACCATGATACACATAGTTATGAAGTTTTATAGGACAATCTGAGGAAAATGATAAGAAATGGTTTGGAAAAGCATTACAAGAATTTGTAACAGTTACTGAACAATAATATATTTTTGCTTACACTTTATTTCACAAACTATGTGGAAGTTTTCTCACGTACACTTGAATTCAGAATTGAGAGAATATATATCACCTCAATTTCTATAACAGTATCTATGGATATACAATTTGTGAACAAGTCTCTTCCTATCATATTTAAAAACTAGAAAATGTCTGAAAGACATAAATGATGCCCCACCCCATCCCCCCTCACCCCCCCACTGCCATGTGAAATTATTTTCAGTGTTCTATAAAAAGTTACAACCACTTGACCTTTGCATAAAGTTTGACCAAAATCCATGAAAGAATGAAGTTGCTAAGTGTTTAAATTGAATCAGTTGATGATTTTCTATATATAGCAAGTGTGACCTTGGCCTTGACCTTGGATCCCTGAAGCACAACAATGTTTGACCAAAATCTGTCAAAGAATGAAGTTGTTTAGTGTTTACTTTGAATTGGGACGTGACGCGACGAAACAGGATGGACATGGGCAACACTATATGTTCCCCCATTTTATGGAGGGTTGTACCTTAATTTGTATAATGCTGGGGGCATAAAAAAAGTGTTTTTACTGGATGTTTTGTATTAGTAAGGCTACCACATAGTTACTCCTAGTAATTTGTGTAATGAGGTAGGCCTGACTACTGCTTGTGTTATATAAAGATTTTGATAAACATGTACAGAGTTTGACAATTTTTAATCTCAATTGGCTTCACGTAATCATATACAGGCAGTAATATTCTCTGGAACACCCTGCCGGCTGCCTGGAGGTAAAAAGCTGTTAGGTGATTCTGATTAACCACTAAGCTAGTCTAGTAACTGGCATGGTCTAACAAGCCCATGGTTATCACTTTTATTGCTTCCCACAACTTTAAAATTCCTAAGTTTACTACACTGAGGTGTCAGACAGAGGTATTCATTAATATCATGAGTTTTCATATCCTGGGCAGGATTTTGTGTTCGCTATGGAGTTTCATTGATTTTAGCCAAAGTAAACAGGAATTGACCTACAGTATGCTTACTGCTGTCTTTATCAAGCTTACCTAAATCAGACAGGTAGACAGGGTTGTCTATAAACCGAGTGTCCGACTGTAACAGCTGGGCCAATGCTTCTCTGTAAACAATGAAAACATATTATCATGATGATGAATATTTTATTGATGTCCATGTGAGCTGAACTAAACCCGGAACGCTTACACAGGACCATTTCACATTAACACTGACACAGTCAAAGGCCAGGTGAGATAAAATTGGGTCCTAAGCAGAAAAATAAACTGGTATTAAGTTAGAATATAAAACATATCGCTGAAACTGTTGAGGTGCCCTAAAAGTTGACACAAGGACAACATCTATGTAAGCATGTACTGCAATGATTATATATGTAAATTCAATAATGTTTCAAATCTTGGAGACAACCTTACTATATATGTCAACAGGATGAGCCTTGTTATGGTGGAGTGACGGTCATATATTTAATTTTCTTAGGTCCGATATATTTTCAGTAATTCATAGTCTCTTCAAATCTGTTTTGTATTTTTTGTTTAAGGTCATAGGAGTGTATTGCTAAATGGAAATAGGAAGTACATCCCTAGTTGAAGGGAGACAGTATCACAAGTTCTGCATATTCTAATGTTTAATATTAAACTGATGAATATTGTATGTTTATTATTAACAGAACAGTGTGTTCTTTCAATATCAAAGTATTTCAAAGCAATCCAGGCATTAATTCAGTTGTTTTTTAATCAATGAGTCACATGTGTCCATTTTTCCGTACTTCAGGTAACCGGCTACCTATTTCACTACTGTGAAGTTTTTCAAGAACGATAACTCTTACATGCAATTACTATGTGTATATGGTTTTATTATAAAATGTAAATTTTTAATCGTTTATAGATAATTAATTTTACACAATTTCAGCATTTATGAAATCGATATACATTAATGCAATACTAATCTATGTCAGTATAATTTTAATTGACATTATTTTGTAAAAAAATCTGTTTCATTTTTTTTCTCAAAATCCACCCTGTTTTACATAAATTTCCATTTAAAATCCTTAAAATTCTGACAACCTATATCTTTTTTGGCAGAAATTTTCTTTACTTCAAAGCAATATAACTACAACATTTGAAAAAATTCTACTGAGAAATGGCGACACAATCCTATTATCTTAATTGAAAATTCCTACCAGCATATTTGCTGTAATTCGCTAGTGGATTTATGTGGTCATCACACTTATTTGGTGTACAATGTATTTTATTTACAGTAATGTTATCACTGTCTATGTCATTTGGGCATCTCCTTCCTTTGTCACACCTTAATGGCCTTACTTTGTTTACTTTGTTACACTCACCTGTAAACTGGATTCATGCTGATAACATCTTGAATGGTCTTCACAATCTCAGATGTGACTGCCTGTAACAAAATATCATGTCTTTATAAAACACAGGTGAAACTTAAAAAATCCACTAAAATCTTTGAACAATCATATGTTTTTGTATTTATAGATACTTGTTAGATACTTAATACATATCCTAACAAGTTTTACTTAACCATTATTATACTTGTTAGATACTTAATACATATCCTAACAAGTTTTACTTAACCATTATTATAAATACATGTATAGGGGAACCAAACCATCAAGAAAAAAGTCTACAGATATTTCAAACTCACATCAAAAATATATCATCTTCATGTAATTGAAACTGTAACACTAACCAATCTTACTTCTGAATTCTAAAGGCTCGACTCTCACTGACACAAGTCAATTTGACTGTAGTTGCTGATATATCGTTGCCACGGGTCAATTTTACTTTACTTCAGTCCTGTGTCTGGGATACATTTGTTTCTCAATTAGCAAAAAGACACCTAAAGCTATTTTGTCTGTAATTATGAGCCAGTAAAACTGATTAATTTAAAATAATAATATTAAACCATGATTCCTCTAACATTTGCAGATTTACCTTGACTTCATCGTTACGAGTGAAGGGTTCATGTTGGATATTCTCCACCTCCACAAACATGACTCGTTTGGAGGGTTCCGAGCCTACCACCTTCACGTCTTCCTCCTTCATTTCACTGTGTTCGTTTGGTGTGACAGTGGTAGGAGGAGAGGTCTCATCAGAAATAGGCGTGTCCTCAGTGACAATGACATCCTCAGATAAGGGGGAATCATCGTCGGGACCTTCCACCTCATCGTTGTCGATGATCTCTGTATCTAGGGCAGCTGTTATTTCTTCTGTCTTTGCATTTTTCTTTCTCCTCCTTCTCTCCTTCCTCCTATTTCCATTGCCTTTGTTTTTGGTGACCACTTCTGTTGAAGAAGTATTGCAACATTACAAATTTTGAGTACCCGGGTTACAGGGTACATCAAATGGAATATAATATGCCTGTCAATATTGCTATTTCCTGAAGCAGCATATGACTATTTATGATTCACTTAAGAACTTGCTTTTGACCTGTGAGTCCTAATAGATTTTTATGTGACATACAGTTGACAACACAGATGTCGAGACATTTTCACTAAAACTACTGCTATGATTGATATCTGAAGCAGATCAAAACGTTAACATTCACATTTTACCTGGAAAAAATAACCTACCTAAGTCTGTTGTATCTTTGGTGTCCTCCTCAATGTTATCTGAAGCCAGTGATGTTATTTTGATCCTGGTAACAAAAACAAACAACACAATTAAAACCTGAAGACACAAACGACCCTATAAGAGTTAGTCATAAACTTTCAGCTGGTTAGAAAAAAAAAGCATCTTGAATTTTTATTTGGCCTAACAACAGTATTTTTTCATTCTTTCCCTATTAAACCATGTCATGTACTTGTCATGAATGAGTCTACGAAGGGATGAGATTAGTTCTTTCTCTAAGCCATGTAGATAAGTGTCTGCCTTCTGAAAGCTTTTACAGTGTGTCTATTAAGCAACAGTGCCTGTCTTCTGTAAGCCAGGACATTGAGTACTTAAAGCAACAAGAGGCCCAGAGGGCCTGTATCGCTCACCTGGATACCTAAGCAATCATGGCAAACTATTCTCAAAATGAGATCAAGGGAATAGGCCAGACCCCAAGGCCAATCCTTGTAGCATAGCTATATTACATTTTTCATGCCCAGCAATTTTATGTATGGTTATGGGGTGGGGATCTCAACTGTTTCCAAGCTTTGACTCAGAAACTAGGTCCCTAGAGTTGTGGCCAGACCCCAGGATCGATTCTAATATTGTGACTGCATTTGTCTTTTTTTGCCAAGCATTTGTATATATAGTTTTGGGGTGGGGATCTCAACCGTTTCAAAGTTATGACCCAGGGGCCAAGTCTGCAAGGGTGGGGCAGACTCTGGGACAAATTCTAATGTCATGACTGCATTCGTCTCTTTATGCCCACCAATTGTATATATAGTTTTGGGGTGGGAATATTAACCATTTCAAAGTTATGACCCAGGGGTTAAGTCTCCAAGGGTGGGGCAGTCCCTAAGGCCAACCTGGAAGCATATGTGCAATCATCTCTTTATACTCAGCAATTGTATATATACCGTTAAAGGGTGGGGCTCTCAACTGTTTCCAAGCTGTGACTAAGAAACTAGGTCCCAAGGGGTTCGGTCAGACCCCAGGGTCTATTCTGATATCATGATTGCATTCGTCTCTTTATGCCCAGCATTTGTATATATAGTTTTGGGGTGGGGGTCTCAACCGTTTTAAAGTTATGGCCCAGGGACTATGTCTCCAAGGGTGGGGCCAGACCATAGGGACATCCTGGAAGCAAATGTGCATTCTTCTCTTTATACTCAGCAATTGTATATATGGTTATATGGTGGGGATCTCAACCATTTCCAAGTAATGCATTTTATTGGCCCCACCCCTTAGCCCGGGGAGTCAGCCCAACCATTTGTACAATTTTGAATCCCTGCCTCCCATGAATACTTCCGACCAAATATGATCAATATCCATGGCATAGTTCTGCAGAAGAAGTCATTTATAGCAATATAACCAAATTGGCCCCTTTTGGCCCCCACCCCTCAGCCCCCTGTTGGGTCAGCCCAACCGTTTGTACAAATTTGAATCTCCACCACCTAGAGATGCTTCCAGTCAAATAAGGTTGATATCCATCACTTAGTTCCAGAGAAGAAGTCACTTAAAGCAGTATAGCCAAATACCCTTTTTGGCCCTGCCCCTCAGCCCCCTGGGGGGTCAGCCACACCATTTGTACAATTTTAAATCCCTGCCTCCCAGGAATGCTTTTGATCAAATTCGATTGATATCCAGTGCACAGTTCTACAGAAGAAGTCGGTTGTAGCAATATAGCCAAATGGCCCCCTTTTGGCCCCGCCCCTTAGCCCCCTGGGGAGTCAGCCCCACCATTTGTACAATTTTTAATCACCACCACCTAGGGATGCTTCCAGTCAAATATGGTTGATATCCACTTCTTAGTTTCAGAGAAGAAGTCGCTTAAAGTAATATGGGCAAATTGACCCCTTTTGGCCCCGCCCCTCAGCCCCCTGGGGGGTCAGCCCCACCATTTGTACAATTTTGAATCCCCACCACCTAGGGATGCTTCCAGTCAAATTTAGTTTAATTCCAACCAGTGGTTAAGAAGAAGAAGTTCTTTAAAGAAATTGTTGACGTACGGACAGACGGACGGAAGGACGACGGACGCCACAGTATGGCATAAGCTCACCTTGGTCCTTCGACCAGGTGAGCTAATAATACTAACCTACCTACAGTGACATCAAATACATTTTACATTCTTTTCTTTGACTAATCAAAGTCATATCATTTACAGGGACTAGTCTATGAAGCAATATGTACCATCTGACCTTCTGTTAGTCTTGAAAATGAGTATATGAGATAGTGCCAGTCTACTGAAAGCTAGTATGGATGACCAGAAGCAATAGTGGCTGTCTTATTTAACCCTTGACACAGTGACATTGAAACATTAGTACCTACCTTCTATGAGCAAGGAGCATGAGTCTAAGTTTGCCTTCAAACTCTTGAACACTTGTTATCTGTACAAATGACCCCATTTCGTAAATTTCATCCAGGTTCGTAACCACATCGTCTTCATTGCTGCAAAAGTCAAAGAATTAATGGTTATATTATTTAAAACCATACATTTTTCTGCTAGTCTATTCACAACTCTTGCTCACTGGCTTTAGTGTATATCATACATTCCAAAATATTTAAAGATAAAATTCTGTTGCAGACCATATTTTCACAAGTGTTACCATGGATTTTGATTTTAAATTAGGTGTGAAAGATTCCATTAAGTCAGTTAAATAACTAAATCAAATGTAAAATTTTAATAGAATTAAAAAGCAATTATCTATGAAATATTTAAGAGCCATTTAACTTTATTAAACATAATGGGTAGGTGTATGTACAATAAAGTGTAAAATATGTACAAGATGAGAATATAATTGACAAGTGCATTTCGCTACACTTTAAGCATATGTACACAAAGTTGTTACAAATGTCTGAAATGTTGATCAAGTCAACCAAACCATAAAATTTAGTCATTTTACAATTTGTTGTAAATGTATGAAATGACAATTGAAAAGATTAAATGAACAGGTATACAATTTAAATAATGAAACCATTACTAACAGACACATTAGCAAGGTTATCAAAAAGTGGGCAATAATTACCAAAGGAAAAGCACCAGTCTGTGACGCAAATCTATGCACAGATAGCAACATCAGGTAGTTTCTACTTTTTGTTTTAAATATATATATATGAAGTTGATCTCAAAATTACATGACTATATTTAAATTATATTCACCTGTCATCCTTCTTCAGAAACACTCCTGCATAGGGTTGGTTCAGTCTTAGTTTCCTTCGTATTATTTGTTTTAGCTCTTTATCTTTAATCTGAAAATTAAGTCATATACATATCATATTATAACAATTACAATTAGCTGCCTAGTGTTAAATGATAAGAACATTTTTTTTTTCCTGCTAAAGAATGAAACAAGAGGCCCAATGGGCCTGCATCGCTCACCTGGTATAAAACTCACACTTGCAACCTTAAAAGTGATCTAAAATAAAGCTACAGGCAAAATATCAGTATTTATGATTAAAATTCATTCAAAAGACCCTATTATTTTATTTTTTGAACATTTCACCCCTGTGATTGAAAGTCGAACAAAGTCATTATGTTGAACACATTGTATAGCCTTTCATCTCAGGATGCAACTTGCAAAGTATAAACATCCTGGGACCCATGGTTATTCATAAGAGGTTGTTTAAAGATTTTAAACAAATTTGACCCCTGTGACCTTGAATATAAGTCAAAGTCATTCACTTTAACAAACA